ACGGTTGGACGTTATCAAGGACTCGAACCTTGTTGTATCTCAAGCTAAAGGAGATTGGAAAGTTAAAGAAGAAAATATGAGAATCTATCACCAGACCTTGGACGTGCTGATTCCTCGGTTTGAGAAACTAAACTTCGCTCATCTATTGAGAGAGAACAACTGGCTCGCAGATTCACTAGCAACTCTATCTTCTATGATAGACATCCCTTTTGGGGTCCGGATGCATCCGATCATCATCGAGCAGAAATTTGTGCCGGTCTACGAGCTGATTGCCGCCATAGATGAGGTACAAGACGAGAACCCCTGGTATTACGATGTCTGGAACTTCTTGGAAAAAGAGGCGTATCCACCAGAGGCAAATGCCAAAGATAAGAGGGCAATTCGAAGAATGGCTGCTCAGTTCATCGTCTGCGGAGGAAAACTGTACAAGAGAGGTCATCTCGGGATGCATAAACTGTGTGTTGATGCTGAAGAATCTAAGCGCCTGATGGGGGCCATCCATGGAGGAGAGTGCAGAACGCACATGAACGGGGTGATGCTAGCCCGAAAGATCCTTAGACAGGGTTATTACTGGTCCACCATGGAGGAGGATTGTATTGGCTTTGTCTGGCGATGCCACAAATGCCAAATCCATGCAAACTGCATGAACATTCTGCCATCGAAGCTGTACAACATGACTTCGCCATGGCCGTTTTCAGCCTGGGGGATTGATGTGATTGGGGTTGTCACTCCGAAGGGGTCCAACAACCATAAGTTCATTCTGGTCGCGATAGACTATTTTACGAAGTGGGTTGAGGCCCAATCTTATGCGGTGTTGAAGGCATCGCATGTTGCTAAGTTCATCAGGAACAACATCGTCTGTCGCTACGGGGTCCCGAATGAGATTATTTGAGATAATGGTTCCCACTTCAAGAAGGAAGTGATCGACTTGTTGGACAAGTACAATGTGGCTTTTCATAAGTCATCTACATATCGGCCACAGACCAACGGAGTAGTTGAGGCCGCCAACAAGAACATCAAGCACATTCTGCAGAAGATGGTGAAAACCTACCGGGACTGGCTAGATAAGCTGCCATTTGCTCTATGGGGCTACCGGACTTTAATTTAAACTTCTACTGGGGCAACTTTGTATTCCTTGGTTTATGGGATGGAGGTTGTTCTGCCTATCGAAGTTGAGGTTCCGTCTTTGCGAGTACTGGCTGAGTGTCAGATAGCTGAGGCAGATTGGCAACAAAGCAGGTTCGAAGAACTCATGCTCTTTTGACGAGAGGAGGCTGAAAACACTGTACCATGTTCAGGGTTATCAACGAAGAATCACCAGAGCTTTCAACAAGAAGGTTAAGTCCAGGAATTTGAAAGAAGGGGATCTTATGCTCAAAGACAACCGAGCTCCCATCCACGACCCTAGGGGCAAGTTCAGACCTAATTGGACTGGTCCTTACATCATCAAATCTATCTGGTCGGGTGGAGCTGTCGTTCTGAGGACCTAGATGGCCTAGAGTTCTCCCAACTGATTAACATGGACAAGTTGAAGAAATACTTTCCCTGAGTGGCTCGCAAGGTTGAAAACCTGAAAGGGCGACCTAGGCAAAAATAAGAGCATGAAAAATTTTGAAATTATAAAAACTGAGCTTGCAAAGTTGAAAACCCAGAAAAGGCGGCCTTGGCAAAAGTTAGAGCGCAAAAGGAGAGTGTTAATACACGAGTGAACCCATGCCGAACTACGTAAGGCTTGATTCCCATCTTTGGGATATGTAGGCAACTTCATTCTGAAGTCCAGCCATAAACACTTCCCCAATCAACTTTGTCCATGTGATCATGTTTGGTCATCTTCGTCCATTCTGCATTTAAGAGCTCGGTTGTGATCTCTAGTGCAATGCTATTCAGACTAGGGGCAACTTTCCAGTTGCTGGGATCCGAGGTTGTACATCTCAGTGATAGATCTCAGGCGTGTCCAGTTGTGATCCATATTGAAAATGGTTTTGAAAAGTTTTAATAAAAGTTGATTTTGCTCAAATTAATCTTTTTACAACTTAGACCATTTTTGGACCAAACGGAAAATTTTCAGTACCCACAACCTTCAATTACATTGATTTCAATACAGAGTTCTCCTACTCTTGAATACAAATTGAAGTTGTTTTTTTATTACATTCATAAAGAAAACTTGAAAGTACTAATTAAAGCAAAAAAATTCGGGGCATAGTCAAGTGTTCCTGCCTCCTCTCCCAGTGCTTGTGGAAGCCTCTGATGCCAAAGTGGGCCCGACCTGCGCCTCCTCATCAAGCCAAGCTATGCACTCGTCAAAGAGGGTGCAACTGAAAGTGGGAGCGGGGTCCAGAAGCTCTCTAGTCCTCCATGCTGTGGCATACCAAGCTAGTTGTGCGCCTCGGACTGGAAATGCAGCAGGGTACTCTATCCTCTCCTCCGGGCAGGTCTGATCATGGCCAAACTAGCGCCGGAATCAGAACGGAAAGTAAATGACACAGTGTGTCAAGCCAATCAACTGAACCCCAGATTGTCGGGACATGCTGTAACTCATTGCCGGTAGATTGAGCCAAGGACAGCACCAAGCAATGTCTGTAGTGGACAAACTGCACATCCAGTCGCACCACCATCCCTCATCAGGGGCATCGACTAGACGTCATCGGAAGAAATAGTCGCGAGCTAAATATGCTGGAAATGAGTCTACAACCTTCAATTTATCCATCAACCATATCTGGGGAGGGATAAAAAATGAGAGATTAAAGAATAGAGAGGTGTACGTTGACAGAAAAAGTAAGAAAAGGGTTTTGAGAGAAAAATCGAGCCTGAGGGCCGAGTGATGTGAGAAATATATGTGAGATGGGGTGGGAAACATTGCCTGCAGCAGTAGTGGACTCCCCGCGAATCTAGTCCTCTCTCGGCGATGGAAAGCATCCAAGCCCATCAATGTCTCAGCCAGTGTCATGGAATGGCAGCTCTTGCCTTCTCTTAAGCCTTGGGCAACCTCAATCAAACGGACACTAGACCATCCGAAGCCTGAGGCAAGCAAAAAATGAGACAGCATGCATAAGCAAAGCGCATGTCGCCTAAAACCCTGCCAATGATGGTCGCCACGATCACCGGCATCAGAAAACAAATGAACCAAGCTGGGGATGTCCAATTCTCCATCACGTATTAAAGACCGAGCGTCATGCATAGTGAGTCCACACATCTGTCCTAAGGCTTGGATGTAGCCAAAGCAGAATTGTGGCAAAATCTCCTCCTCGCGTTCAAACTCCATCAAAGCTTGGAATGCTTCGAAAGTGGGACACATCTCTTGTCCGCCAAAGCTAAAGACATGTGTTACCAGATTCCAAAACCTTGTCGTGGCATGAAAGAACGGAAAACGCAGCGGGGTGCAACTCAACATGAATAGTGCATTGATGCCAAAACCCCGGAAGTTCAGCTTTTCCGAGCCATCTAAGTTGGCAATCCAATTTGTGAGATTTTGGACAAGAAATGCTTTCATTTGGTGCAAAAACTGAACTGAAATGGAGAAAACTACGAAGCTGAGGCTTTTATAGAAGATAAGGTGTTGAATGGAAGACAGGTGTCAGTATTCTGGAGGTGCTTGCCATTTTTGGCTGATCTGCCAAAAATAGTGCCGACCGACCATTTTTTTTGGCCGATTGGCTAGTAATGATGGCCGATGGCCATTTCTTGTGGCCGATGGCCTCTCACTTTGGCCGATGACCTCCCTCTTTGTTCTCTAAGCTATATAAGTGTTGAAGATGTTGAGAACTTGTGACTGGTTCCACTTCAAATACCTTCCGATGATGATTTTGCGAAGTCGTGCCTGTGTTACTTCAATTTGTTTATCGAGTTGTTGTACTTTTGTTTATCAAGTTGTATTTTGTGTTCTTTAGCCCTTGTCTTGCTTATCGAGTTGTATTTAGCTTGTCAAGTTCTTTGTTTTGCTTATCAAGTTGTTTTGTTGTTAGTTGGTTCACTACCTGATTAATGCAATTCAAGTGCTTGATTTTCAAAACAAAGTTCAATCTCATTTACATTGTTATGTAATGCAATGCGATGCATAGAATGTACAAATATAACACTTTTTCAACAAAAAGAGCTGTTTCATTCCATCATGTTTTCCTTTTGCAAAAGTACATAGTTTTGAAGAAAATAAAATCTGCCTAACGCAGTACAATGTGCAAAACTACTAGTAAAAAGGAAAATAAAGCAAAAAAGGAGAAAAGCAACAAAATGTCTGAATAAAGAAAAAAGAGAAAAGCAGCAAAATGTCTGGATCGGCGCCAATTGCCTCAAGTACGGGAGTTCGTTCTCGTCCTCTTCCTAGACGAAGGTCCAGGATCACCGCCATCCCCTCCGCTGTCTGAGCCATCTCTGGCCTCATCCTGAGACGACTCTGCCTCTGCATCAGACTCGTCATCATCCGGGAAAGGCTCCAGTGAACTACTCCCAGAGCAAGTGCGTCTATGCCTGCCTTGGCTATGTATCGTCATCCCCTGTTTGGCTCCCCATGCTGCTCTTGGAGGCGCTGAAGGTCCTACTGGAGCACCCCCTACGGCCGAAATCTGGAACGGGGCCTGAAAATAACAATTGGTAGATGCATCAGTTATGCTATGCAAAGTCAAGTATGGTATCAAATACAGTGTATGATTGTAGTGTATGAATGACATGAACAGTACATGAGATACAGTGTGTCAGTGCCGTGAGTGGTATGTCAGTACAGTGTATTGAATGTCCTATTGATAATGTAATGCATCAGATTATGTATGAAACAGATTGTGCAAAGTTTTGGGACTGAGTTTGAAGGAACTTAACGGGATACCATAGATGGTCAGTAGGTCTATGCTCCTCTGCAGCATCCCCATCACTGAGGCCGTCAGCTCCAAAGACTGACTAGTGTACTCAATCGAAGCCGGCAAAAGTGTTGAAGTATTTAGTATTCCACGAAATATCAACTGAAATGAAATGACTGTACAGAATGAAAGTATAGTACGCACCAAGGTCGAACCGCAAACTCCGACGAGCTCATGATCAACCGGAGGAGGAGCGATGGGTATCCGATAAGTCTCCTCACCCTATCCTCGGCATGTCATGGTGGTGGGCAGCGCTGGCCACTCTACTCCTTGTCCCCTCCGGGACCCACTCCTGTCGCAGGCCCGAGACGCCCTTGATACTCCTGCTCCTCCGGCTGGCGCTGCAGGCCTCTCCCTCTCAGCTCGGTGAGCACCGGTCAAAGGTCACATGAGATAGGTCTGGATGAACTCGGTGTAGTCGCCTCATCTCTGAAGAGGTCAGAATCCCAGCCTATCATGAAATCCATCATCTCCTCCAGAGTGTACCTCTCGGTGGCCCTCGTATGGGTAGGAGGTGGCCTCGGGACTATTTGCTCGGGCACGCCAAGGGTCTGCCGCAAGAAGCGCTCCCCGAAATACTAAGCCCGGTATACAGGACGCTCCAGCAAAATCCTGAACCGGGCAGTCTCCTAAGCACCCGCGTACTGCTCTCTCACTTCCTCCGGCAACACGGCCCAGGGCTGCTAGGTGATCTGCAAATGACAGGATATACAATTTGTTATCTGTTATTGAAAGTGCAATGTAAAGCGAAGCTTAAATAAACTGTAATGTTTGAAATACCTCTGCTGCGATAATGGTATCGAAGTATCGGCGGAAGAATAGGAAAGACTCCCTCGGCCTCCGTTCGCACCTTACATCGTATCGATGAGAGTATGGAACTATGGGGGGCATCTCCACATCCAGCACTGGGGCAAGCCTCAGAAAGTAGGCATACACCCACAACTATAGAGTGTAACAGGGTAAAAATGAGTAGGCTTATCAGTAAGGCAGTATGCAGATAAAGTAGAAATCAGAGAATAGTGTGCAGTGTACTGCGCAGTGTGTGTAGTGTACAGCCAGTGTGAAGTAGATTGCATGTGTGCAGTTTGTGTAGTGTATAGCCAGTGTAAAGCATATTGCATGTATGCAGTGTGTGTGGTGTACAGATAGTATAAGGCAAAACTGTAAAACAGAAAGGGAAAATGTACCTCCCAGGCTCGCCAGTAGCCCCCAAGTAGATGTCCGCTGCGGCGAGAGGAAGAGCTCATGTATCCGTAGAGTGTGGTTAGGCCTGCGCCGCCCCAGTCGTAGCGCCGGATCCACGTCACATCCACCAGCGCGCTTAGCAGATAAAGAGTAACAGTGTTCACTCGGTCGATCAATAGGGTGGGGCCCAGCAAGAACATGATGAATCCTCGAGTGTACTGCTCCACCTCCTCGCAAGTCGTAGGCGTCTGTATCCGAAAATGGTCCTCAAACCAAGAATACCTCACGAACCCTGGACGGGAGAGAGGTGGCCGAGCGCCAAGCAAATAGATCTGGGCAGCGTCCCACTCGTCCATGTCAATATCGAAGGGGATCGGATCACCCTCTACTCTGATGCCTGTGAGCATGGAGAAATCGAAGGGAGTCATCGTCATCTCCCCTGCAGCAGAAAGGTGGAAGAAATCGGTGGTGTCCCACCACCTCTCCACTAGTGCACCTAGAAGGGGCCTACTCGCAGTAAGGCGTGAGAGTCCCATGCAGAAAACGCCGAAGCTGGCCTGATCAACGATATGACGAACCGCATCGGGCAGCTCCATGTACCAACCTCGGGCAATGGTGTTCCCATACCCCCGGAAGGCATGGGAATCTCCCTGTGTTCAAAGACAAACAGATGCAAAGTAATATTAGATATACAGTGTTTGAATGCGTTCAGAGTTGATGAAAATGCAGTGTGTGTGCATGTGTTCGAGTCGACACAGATATCGTGTGATTGTGCTCTGGGTGAACTAAGCATATGATGTATCAGTGTATTTGGGTTATTCAGTTGAAAAACAGAATTGGCTATTCAAGATATCTGATCTACATTACAGAAAGTAAAAGAGGGGAAGAGTATACCTCAGCGGCGTCGTAGGAAAGGTGTGACTCTAAATCACGTAGCAAGAGCTCCAACGGCGCACCTCGTGCGTAGCTCTTGAACTAGCAGATGCTATCAGGAGGCAATATGTGTATCGCCGGCCGGTATGTCACCGAGTCGAACGATCGAATGCTAAGAGGCAGGAGCTCGACCTCAGGATCTGTGTCCATCTCTAGGGGAGTCCCACCTCGTGGAATATCGTCCGCCATCTCGAGAAGAGTGCACAAGTGGTCGAAAGTGTGAAAAATGGGTGAAAATGCAAAAAGTCAACCGAAAGTCAACCCCAAGGGGTAAAAACGAAGGAAAATGAGAAGGCTCGGAAGAGGGCACGGGAATCAAGGTAAACTCGGGGAAACAAACCCCAAGTGGTGGAAATCGAGAATGGGGCACCGAAATCGTGTTTCGTTCGGTTCAAAGTGTTTGGAACGAAGAGGTTTTCGTGAATCGGAAGTCACGGGAGGCTCGAAAACAAGGGAAAAGCTCGGATCTAAGGTTGGAAAATGACCTAGAGAGAGAGAGCAAGCATTTTCGGCAAGGGAGAAGTGAGGATATAGGGTTTGGAACCCTATATTTAAAGACCCGAGGCAAAATGTCAAAACTGCCCCGAATTTGCCATTTTTGGCTGATCGGCCAAATTATTAGTCGATCGGCTAAATAGTTGGCTGATAAGATCTTTTTGTGGCCGATGGATGGCCGATGGCCTGCCCTTGTGGTCGATGCACCTCCAGTACCCTTGTTTGGGTCGATTCTGTTGATTGATACGCTAACCTTTCAAGAAAGTGCAAGAAAGTACACTTTTGAAGCTTAAACGGCCCCCGTGGTGGCCTCGAACCATATCTTCCATGTGCGGTGCTTGGTATGCGTGAGTTGTATCCTTTTTCGTATCCTTTTGTATATTGCGATATTCGAAAATTGCTTTGGATGCCTTGCATTACAATGTTTTACATGTTTGTAATAAGCGCGCTTGTTATACGTCCTTTCGCTCTTGCATTGAGCATGCCTCATCTTGCTTTGAAGTTGCATCTCAATGTCACGAGTAACATGCCTTTACCATGTTTACGTTGAACATGTGCCTCTTTTCCTTACATTGTTATGCACACACTATATGCATTGTCGAGCACGTTTCATTTACATTGTCATGCACACCTTCCTCGCATTATTATGCACACACTATATGCGTTGTCGCGCACATTTTGTTTGCATTATTATGCACATCTCTTTTGCATTGTTATGCACACACTATATGCGTTGTCATGCACGTTTTACGTACATTGTTATGCACACTTCACCTGCATTGTTATGCGTTTGTTTCGCTTGCATTGTCATGCAACCTGTTCAACTTGCATTGTTATGCACACTTCACCTGCATTGTTATGCGCGTTCTACCTACATGTGTTTCTACTCTATTGTACCTATTGAGTTTCTTTCTTTTGTAGGCGCGATATTGTATGTACGGTTCATTTGAAGCTGGCACGACCAGACGTTATTGTATGTGCGGTTCTTTCGAGAAGTTCTGGTTCTGTTTGTCTGCTAACCTTTCTCCACTCGTGTGCCGTGTTTGGACGTATCTGCATGTTTGCATTCGTCGCGCGTCGTGCAACCTTTCTCCACTCGCGTGCCACGTTTGGATGTATCTGCATGTTCATGTCGTCACACGTCGTGCAACCTTTCTACACTCGCGTGCCATGTTTGGACATATCCGCATGTTCGCATTCGTCGCACGTCGTGCAACCTTTCTCCACTCGCGTGCCGCGTTTGGACGTATCTGCATGTTCGCGTTCATCGCGCGTTGTGCAACCTTTCTCCACTCGCATGCCCCGTTTGGACGTATCCGCATGTTCACGTTCGTCATGCGTCGTGCAACCTTTCTCCACTCGAGTGCCGCGTTTGGACGTATCCGCATGTTCGCGTTCGTCACGCATCGTGCAACCTTTCTTTACTCGCGTGCCGTGTTTGGACGTATCCGCATGTTCACGTTCGTCACGCGTCCTGCAACTTTTCTCCACTCGCGTGCCGCGTTTGGATGTACTCGCACTGTTATGTGCATCGCGCTTTCTTGTGCAACCCTTCTCCACTCGCATTTGGCATGCATTTGGATGTATCTCTCTCCTCTCGTGTTTGACACGCGTTTGGATGATTGTGCTTTCTTGCACAGTCCTTTCCTCTCATGCGTGTGCCACACTGAGAGATGCTCTCTTTCCTCTCTTGCGTTTGTTACGCTGAGAGATGTTGTGTTTCAGACTCCGGGTTGTCTTGGTAGTCGCTTTTAATCTTCTCCGCGTGAGACGCAGTGAGAATTGCATAATTTTCTTGCATCCTTTCTGTTGGAATGTGTAGGACTGTTATTTCTTATTCGCTTGCTTAAAATGCCACATTTATTTTGCATGTTATGCTTCATCACAACTCTCTTTGCATGATCATAAGTTGTGTTCGACATTATGCTTGTCATTTGCATCTTGCCCCTGCCTGCGGGCGCATCTCTTTGTTATCTTGTATGTTTGTCTAAGTCTTCGACCTTGTCGAAAATGGATCGTCTCTGGGCTTTGACATTCACTCTCGTCATCTTATGACTTTCTAGTTCTGTCAAAGAGGGGCAACTGTACACACCCCATTTTTGACAGTCCTCAAGACTTGGACGTCATCATTTGAACACTCGATGATCATCCATGCTCGTGTTCGTTTTGAGTTCCCGAAGGTCTCGGCTGCACGCCTTGCCTTAGGATCTCTCAATTTGTTTGTTTTGTGCTTGGTTGTCGACCAAGGATTTGTGGTTTTTGCTTCTGAGGGAAAGGGGTGGCTTGTTGGCCATCCCCACAACCCATCGGCTAAGGCCTTACGCCATCGGCCATGTTTCCTCGCCATCGGCCATAAGTGGTGGCCGATCGGCACTCTGTTTGGTCGATCGGCCATATTTTCTAGCCGAGACCTTTCCACCTGCTTTTGCAAATATTTTTGTGCCAGCTGTGACAGTTGGTGAGCACAATTCTCATCCTCCATATACGCGTATGGAGGGATTATATCGAGACTCAAGCTAACAAGCTTGAGAATTGAAATTCTATAAGAAGGGAGACCCCTCTCCCTTTCCAGAGGTTCTGAAATCTTGAGATACAAGTTCTATATCTCTCTCTATATATTCCTCCCTCTCTCTCTATATTTGTGTGAGTTTGAGCTCAAAAGTGTAATTTCTTCATACTTTTGCACTAAAGCACCCACTAGAACACCATCATTTTGTTGCTGAGGCTTCTTGAGGTTGTTTTTGGTTGTTTTGGACTGGTTTTGATCCAAGAAGAGTGCTGGAGTTGTGTTCTTGAAGGTGTTCTTCAAGGGTGAGTAAACTACCTTTTAATCCCTTGTTTTGGCTTTAGCTTTTTGACCTATTTGCATGCTGATTTAAGCTTAACTTTCTACAATAAAAAGTTCTGATTTTTCATGCTTATGATGTTTGTTTAAGGTCACTTTTGTGTTTGGGGTAGTCTACCCCCTCTTAGGCCTTGTTTGGCCTTGTTTGGGCTTGTTTTTTGAGCTATTGGGACCACTTTGTTTGAACCTTCTCACCACTGGATTTCAGTGGTGGAAAGGTGGTTTTGAGGTCCCAAATAAGAGAGGGTCATCCCCTCTCCTGGTGTCTTGTATGCTAGTACAAATGGCTCATAATAGTAGCATGTTTGCTTAGCTTGTTTTCGCTCCATTTTAGCAAGTATTTGGTGTTATTTTGCCATGCTATACCTCTGTCTGAGGTTGGCTTGATAGCTTCTTACATGCACCATGCACTTGTAGTATAATCCTCTCTATTTCCTTAACATGCATCTTGTGTTTGGACCATCATTCTTGCATATTTTGGCTCAACTCAAAGAAGCTTTTAGCCTTGTTTTACCATGCTTAAGCTCTAATTTGTATTGTTTTAGTCATGCATGCGTTGTTTTGTATAGTCGTGGTTCAATCTAGCTTGTTAGCTTTGAGTGTCCAAGTTACTAGCATGCGTTACTTAGACTATTCTCATGATTTGGCATCATTCGAAATGATATTTCAGTGCATGTTTCATGGTCAAACACTTGCCTTTGTCATCCTTTCAATGCTTTGAAGAGTTGGTGTTTCATGCCTTAAGAGTATACCATTGTGCATTCCTCTATGCTTAGGCCTTTGGGATGCTATCTCAGTGGGTTTTAGGGCTTATTTTGACATGCCATAACTCTGATTTTTATTGATTAAGTCATGCCATGTTTGGTTTTGATAGGTGTAGTGTAATACCCCTTCGTGGCCTCGCATGCTTCATGCTTTTGGTTTTTTTTTTCTTCTAGCTTGTGTTGGCTAGGTTCAAGCATGCTTTTGGCTAGGTTCAAGCATGCTTTTGGGACTGTTTTGGATGCCTTTGCCCCTTTGGGGCTTGTTTTGCATGGCCATGGCTTAAGTCCCTTTGCTCGTTTCGAGTTTTGAACTTTCTTGCATGCTATGCTTGTCTTGTTGGAGTGGTTTGGCACCATTCCATTCATGATTTCAGGGCCTATAGTGTTGTCACATTTGCATGCTTTTCACTCTTTAAGTGTTCTTGAGAGTTGTCCTCTTTACGCCTTAATTCTTAGACCATTACATGCGCATGCTTGTCTTGCATTTCATGTCTTCAATTCATCACTTTGGCCACTGATTTAGGCATGGCTGAGGTCTGTCCATTTTGGTTTAAGTCCATCTTTTGCATGTTGTTGCATGCTTGTTCCTTTTTGCATGTTGTTGCATGCTTATCTTTGCATGTTGTTGCGTGCTTGTTCATCTTTGCATGTTGTTACATGCTTGCTCCATTTTGTTGTTATTCCATGCTTGGTGCATTGCATGTTGTTGCATGCTTGTTGCATTTCATGATTTTGCATGCTTGTTGCATTGCATTGTGTGTGCATGCCTTGCCTCTTGATCAAACATGATAGAGGTTAAGGTCCCTTATGTGTTTTTGTGCATTTCATTCACATTGAATTGTGTGACTCGGCATCTTTGGCCATCATACATCGAAATGCGCGATTTATGGCTCGAGAGTCGAGCACTACACTCCTTTGAGCTTCAAACATGATAAGGGGTGTAGTTGCACAACATTTTCTTGTAAATATATTGTCGTGCCTCTGTTTGTACTCTACTGCAGCAAAAGGAGTAGTTTGCAGAAATCAGTGGCCGACCGGCCATTTTGGCTGCCGATCGGCTATCAATGTTTGGCCGATGGACTCATAAGTGGTCGATGACCCTCATCTCTTGGCCGATGGCCCTCAGCATATCCATGGGGTGAATTAGAAGTGTGTTGGAGATTTGTACAATTTTCAAAGATGCAAAACAATGCAAACAGAGGCAACATAAGGCATGGCAATGGATTTCCAAACGAGGCGATCGAGCATGCATCATTCATCACTTCGAGGCAGAGCTGTGGCAGCCTGTTTTAGTTTCTTACTTAGCTGGTTTTGTAACTTAATTAATTTGTTTAATTAGTTAAAGGTTTTGTAATAATTAATTAGGTAGGATAGTTAGTTAATTAGTTGGTTTGTGTTATTCATTCAGACCCTTTGTCGAGAGGGCGGATTTTGTAATAAGTGTGCGTGAGTGTGTAAATGTCTTCTAACCCCACGTCTTTCTCCCTTTTACTTAACCGCT